CGCGATACCACTGCGGACAAGCTCTCCGCCCGCGCTGTTCCCTGTGTCTTCCTTCGCTTTGTCCCTGACGCGCCTGGTTGGCAGTTTTACCACCCCACCTCGCGCCGTGTCTTCCCCTCTCAGGACGTCACGTTCGACGAGTCGGTTCCTTTTTACCGTCTCTTCCCCTACCGCACTGCCCCTCTCCCCCCCCAGCCGCTCTTCCTCGCTCCAGGTGCTCCCCAGGTAGACCCCCTCCCCGCTCCCGGTCCTGCTCCTTCAGTTGTGTCTCAGGTAGACCCTCCTCCCTTGACTGAGCCGGTTGAGGTCACTGGTGACTCAGGTCCTGCTGAGGGTGGTCCTGCTCAGGGTGCTGCTGCTGGGGGTGCTGAGCCTGGGGGTGCGGAGCCTTGGGGTGCTGAGCCTGGGGGTGTGGAGCCTGGAGGTGCGGAGCCTGGGGGTGCGGAGCCTGGGGGTGCGGAGACTGGAGGTGCTGAGCCTGGGCGTGAGGAGTCTGGGGGTGCTGAGCCTGGGGGTACTGAGTCTGGGGGTGCTGCACCTGGGGGCGCTGAGGCGTCTGGTGAGCAGTCTCCCTGGAGCGGCCGTCTCCGTAGTCGCTTCGCTGGTGCCTTGCCGCTGCACTCTCGTCGTCGACTCCCTCTCTCCCCACAGCAGCTGCTTGAGTGGTACGTTGACCGTCAGGGTCGCGCTGCTGGAGCTAGGGGCCCTGCTGCGGGAGGCGCTGGAGCTGGTGACTCTGCAACTGGAGTTGTTTCTGCTGGAGGTTCTGGAGCTGCTGAGGCTGCTGGAGCTGGAGGTTCTGGAGCTGCTCGAGGTGCTGGCGCTGGTGACGCTGGAGCTGGAGGTGCTGGCGCTGGTGGCGCTGGAGCTGGAGGTTCTGGAGCTGCTGAGGGTGCTGGCACTGGAGGTTCTGGAGCTGCTGCGGGTGCTGGCGCTGAGGGTTCTGAGTCTGCTGTTACGCGGTCTCCTTGGAGTAGCCGCCTTTGTCCGCATGTGCCTCTCACCTCACAGCAGCTGCACGACTGGTACGGTCGCCGTCAGGGTCGCGCTTCTGGAGCTCGGGGCACTGCCGCTGGAGGTACTTCTGCTGACGTCACTGGAGCTGGGAGTGGTGCTGGTCCCGGAGGTGCTCGTACTGGACGTACTTGAGCTGCTGGGGCTGGAGGTGCTGAGCCTGAGGGTGCTACTTCTAGAGACCCTGGGTTTGGGGGTGCTGCTGCTGGAGATACGGAGGCTGTAGACCCTGGGACTGGAGGTGCCGGTTCTGGGGGTGCTGCTGTTGGTGGAGCTGGTCCTGGAGGAGCTGGCGCTGAGGGTTCTGGAGCTGCTGGAGGTGCTGGAGCTGCTGGGGGTACTGGAGCTGCTGGTGAAGGTGTCACTGCACAGCCGCGCCTGTTCTTCGCTCCACCGTCTCCGTCGTCTCAGCCACCGCCTGACTCTGTGCTTCGCCAGGTTCTTAGTCTCCCTTCGTCTACTGGTCTTCCGTTACAGCCTGGCTCACCGCTGCCTGCTCCTTCTCCTTACACTGAGCAGACAGGGGGTCTTACTGAGCGTCGTGAGCCTGCGTCGTGTCCTGTCTCGCCTGTCCGTTCTGGTTGGTCCGGTCGTCGTGTTCCTCGTCCGCGTCAGCCCGACCTCGTAGTCCGTCGTCCTTCCTCTCCTTCGCAGCGTGTTCCTCTGCCGTCTCCTCCTGCGTCTTCTCTGCCTGTCCTTGCAGACCCTGAGTCCGACCGGTTTCGTGCTGAGCACCCTACTGTCACGCGTCTGCTAGCCACTATTGTCACTGACCCGTCGTTTGAGTCTGCTGCTGCGTCTGCCTTAGTCGCTGAGCTTGTTGACTTTGCTGCTGCCTGTCGTCTAGACTATGCCGCTAGTCTTGTTGCTGAGTCTGAGTCTGTCTGTCCTCCGTCCGTCGGGGGTGAGTGTGCTCTTGGCACGGACGTCCTTGAGGACAGGCAGGAGGACCTTGAGTGTCTTGCAGCCGCTGCGCCTCATCTCGTGTCCATGCTGCTTGCCCCTGAGGGAGACCCGGATGCTCCAGACATCCCAACCCCGCGCTCTTACGCTGAGGCGATAGCGGGTGAGTACTCCTCTCAGTGGCAGACAGCCATGGACGCAGAGATGGCATCCTAGAAGTCCACAGGCACTTACGTCGACGAGGTTCCCCCACCTGGGGCGAACATCGTCAGTGGCATGTGGATTTTCAGGGTGAAGCGGCCGCCAGGTTCTCCGCCTGTCTTCAAGGCGCGTTACGTTGCACGAGGTTTCAGTCAGCGAGAGGGAGTAGACTTCTTCCAGACCTTCTCCCCCACCCCGAAGATGACCACTCTTCGGGTGCTGCTGCACGTTGCCGCTCAGCGTGACTACGAGCTTCACTCTCTTGACTTCAGCACAGCCTTCTTACAGGGCAGCCTGCACGAGGAGATCTGGCTGCGCCGCCCACCTGGCTTCACTGGGTCGTTCCCTCCTGGTACCCAGTGGAGCCTCTGGCGGCCGGTCTACGGTCTCCGCCAGGCGCCACGTGAGTGGCACGACACACTGAGGACGACACTTGCGGCTCTTGGGTTTGCTCCGTCGACTGCTGACCCGTCGCTGTTTCTGCGCACCGACACTTCGCTGCCGCCGTTCTACATCCTCGTGTACGTTGACGACTTGGTCTTTGCCACTGCTGACACTGAGGCTCTCGCCCTGGTGAAGTCGGAGCTGCAGAAGAGACACACGTGCACAGACCTGGGTGAGCTGCGCAGTTACCTTGGCTTGCAGATCACCCGGGACAGAGCACGCCGCACCATCACACTGACTCAGTCACACATGGTGCAGCAGGTCCTTCAGCGCTTCGGCTTCACCTGGTCCTCGGCACAGGCCACTCCTCTGGCTACAGGTCACTCGCTCTCAGCTCCACCTTCGGACGAGTCCGTAGAGCCGTGTGGTCCTTACCCAGAGCTAGTGGGCTGCCTCAAGTACCTGATGACCTGCACTCGTCCTGACCTTGCGTACCCTCTTGGCCTTCTGGCTCGCTACGTGGCTCCTGGTCGGCACCGAAAGGTGCACATGGATGCTGCTAAGAGGGTACTGCGCTAATTGTGCAGTACATCGGGCATGGGGCTCGTGCTTGGAGGACGGGGCGACGTTGTCCTCACTGGGCACTCGGACGCTTCTTGGGTTGACGACCAGGCTACGCAGCAGTCGTCACAGGGTTACACCTTCAGCCTTGGCTCTGGTTCGGTTTCTTGGCGTTCTACACGCTCGTCTTCAGTTCTCAGCTCCAGTTGTGAGGCTGAGATCTACGCCACAGCCATGGCTGCACAGGAGTTACGATGGCTCACCTACCTGCTGACCGACTTGGGAGAGCGGCCTCGTTCTCCTCCAGTGCTGTACGTCGACAACAAGGCCGCCATTGCCTTGTGTCAGGAGCACAAACTGGAGCACAGAACGAAGCACATTGCTCTGCGTTACTTCCTGGCTCGAGAGATGCAACAGCGTGGTCAGCTTCGTCTTGCTCACGTGGCCACTCGGGCCAACACTGCTGATATATTCACCAAGGCGCTTCTGTCTGGTGATCATCAGCGTTTCTGCACCCTGTTAGGCCTTGTGCCCACGTTTTCTCACTTGCTGTAGACTTTGCTTGTACTGTGATCTATATATATACCTGCATGCTTGCTCTGCTAGGTAGAGATCACTGTGCTGTTGTTTTTGCATATATACCTCTGCATGTGAACTGGCCTTGTGGCCCTTTGCTTGTGCTCAGTGTGTGTGGTGACGTTGTGATCCACCCTGAGCTTGCTTTGCTTCTCTTGACTGGTCTTGTGACCCCTTGCTCTCCCCCACTTTGCCTATGGGGGTGTGTCAAAGTATATGCATGTTACATATGTGTAGGCTGTAGTGGGGTAGCCAATATGGGGTACAGCCCCTTTTAGGGTTTCCTACTTGTACCCAACTCTTTCATAGTTCATTCATTCCTGCTGCTAGATTCTGACAACTAAACCAACCACACCCTATGCCACCAAACTACCCTCGGAAAAGCGGGGTGAACTAGGAAAGTAGCTCTGATATCAGGTGTTATGAGTTGTAAAAGAGAGTGCGCAGGTAAACGAATAACGAGACTGTGATTAACTGATCTGCGAATACAATGAAGGCACAGACTAATGTTGGGGGGCTAGCCTAGCTAGGAGGAAACCTCGGACGAGCGAGGTTGGGGTGCAGGTTTGGCGATGGAAATGCCGAAGGCGACGCGAGGAGCCTCGGCATCGTTGAAATCGGCCGAACATGCAAAGTCCGAAAATCGGGCTGTACGCGTAGCAGTCAACACCGATAAGGAATCCGGAAAAATTCCTTACAGGTAATAGGAATTTACACTAAATACAGCTGGTTGGGCCTTGTAAGGCAAACTGTTAACCAACAAACAAAACAGAAACTGTAGAAACATACCTTCTGTAATATTTACTTACGCGGTTACCACTTCGCACACTCGCCACTGCCCCTCCCCTCCACTACTATCATCTCGGCCCATTCGTGGGATGAACTGGGCACAAATAATATCGACTTGACAAGGAGTCATCACCATCTTTACCGCGGTTTGCGGCAGCACAAATAATCACAACGCGTTTAGCAGATGTCAGAGTCGTTCGCTAAACCGCAGCTGAAGCTCTCCGCAAGTCGCTGCCGAATTTCCGCGCGAGGCACTGCCACCCTGCCTCTTGAACCACAATTACAGCAGATCCCAAAAAGCCGGCGATCCATGGCTAGTCGCTTCGAGTTTGCTCTGCCGCTAGTGCGCGTCGCCAGAAAGGCTCACGATGAGACGCGCTGCGGGATCGAAGCCCGTGGTGATACGCGGGTAGAAAAGCAGCAGCTGAAGACATTACATCGTACTCTGGGTCCAGTCCCACTACTAACAAGGCCGCCTTTCGTCGTTCAACGGAGCTCTCACTTCGAGAAGGCTTGGCGTTTCACAGCCGTTGGATTCCTTTCCTTGGATTGCTCATCGCGTTCGTCCCATCATGGCTCTCTCGCGCTATCTCCTGCGTCTCGTCGTCTTCTCCGTCGCTCTCGCCGCGCATCACGCCATCAGCGCCACCGCTCTCCGTCATGATGACGTCAGGGAGCCCACCTCGCTCCGCGCTTTAGAAGACTCAGTCAAGGTCAAACGTCCCCTCCCTACCAAACCTCCACAGACTCTATTAGAGCTTACGGTAAGAAGCCCTGTAGTCTCGTCTCGTCCCGTCCGCTCTTTCTCCGTTCTTGAGAGCGCTCATCCATCGCCAACCCCCGTTTTCTTATTTCCTTTCCGCCACTCTCCGCAGTCTTCCCCGTCAATGCTGCCGGCGCGCGCTCTTCCCCGCCGCGCGCTCAAGCACGGCGCGACAACAACGCCGGGTTTGAACTCGCCGCTGCAGGCCGCTGAAACGGACAGCGAGAGCGACAGTATCGAGGACAGCGGTTTGGAGGACGTCGCGCTTGACGGCGGAGCGGCGGAAACCGGCGGAGACGCGCGCAGGGGACTCCTGTCGCGCCCGCAGATCAGCAGCAACGACGCGAGGAAGCGCGGGGAAGCCCTGGCGAAGAAGGCAGCGAAAAAGGCTGGCGAAAAGGCGGCGAAAAAGGCGCTGGAATACGCGGCGAAGAAAACGCTGACGTCCGCTGGCGGGTCGGCAGTGAGCGGAATCGCGTCTATGGTGGGCGTGGGAGACGGGCCGACCATGCTCTCTAAGGTCGGCTCGGACATTGAAAGAACCGGCAAGGTTGGACGCGTTATAGGGAAGGTGATGCAGAACAAGGTTGTGAACGCCATGGTGAATACAGTGGCTCCGAAGCCGCTCATGACGGGGCTGAATCTGGCGGCGGAGCATTACGATGACATCAAGAGGGAAGGGGAGAAAGCCGGGAAGGCTGTAGGGAAGGAGGTGAGCAAGGCCGGGAAGGCTGTAGGGAAGGAGGTGAACAAGGCTGGGAAGGCTGTAGGGAAGGAGGTGAACAAGGCTGGGAAGGCTGTAGGGAAGGAGGTGAACAAGGCTGGGAAGGCTGTAGGGAATGAGGTGAACAAGGCAGGTAAAGCGGTGGGGAAGGTGGGCAAAGCGGTGGGGAATGCGGTTGGTGGTGCTGCCAAAAATACCGTGAACGACATGAAGAAGGCTGGGCAGGCCGTTGGGAACGCTGCTAAGAAGGCCTTAAGTGGATTCTCAGGCCTTTTCGGGAGGAAGTAGAACGGGGCTGGAGTGGGTTCTCAGGGCTTTTCGGGAGGAAGATGAATGGGACTGGAGTGGGTTCTCTCTCAACCCTTTTCGGGAGGAAGATGAATGGGGGCGGCCGGACATCCCTTTGTTTGCCGGTGGAACCGCAGTGGAACGGGCTGTACCGCTTTGTAAGCGGAACCGCTGAAGCTGAACCGCAAAATCGGCGTGGCGTCCAACTGTGCCGCATGCCTCAGTTTGATATACAGGGTGGATAAGGGTAGGAATGAGGGGCAGTTTGTGTGTACTGTAGTGGATTCTGCTGCATGCTGCTTAGGAATGGGGGAGGGAAGAACTTGGTGATGCCGTTCTGATTTTGGTTTCTAGTATTTTGTTTGTAGGGAGGGGAGTACACATTTGTACCGTAGTTCAGTGACCTGTTAATTATCTTAAGGGTTCTTGCTGATTTGTCAGAGTAGCGTCATGTGTACACCGGCCCACATCTCCACTACGACTTGGCATCCGCACCGCATCCCCTTCCAAATCACCACTATCACCACAATGTTATCACAATTCCCTCACCAGGCGCCCTAACCTACCGTACCCTACCACCTCCCATGTCAATCTCCTCTACCCCATCCTCCTCCTCCTTCCCACCGCCTCTATCACCGTGCTTTCATTCCACTCACCGTTTGCCCATACCATCCCATCCTATCGCCTCTCCATTTCAATCTCTTCAATATCATCATCATCCTCATCCTCCTCTCCATCACCATCACTATCAGCAGCAGCAACAGCAGCAGCCAGAGCAGCCTGTTGCTCCTCCCCATTCATCCCCATGCCCGCCGCACCTCCCGCTCCCCCAAAGTCGTTCCACGGCAGCATCGCCTCTAGAAACACCATAAGAGGGTTCCGCCCTGCTAAATCCACCTGCTGCCCCTGCCCTGCCCCTCCCCCTGCACCCATTCCCCCTCCTCCTCCCCCTCCCATTCCCCCTCCTCCCCCTCCGCCTCCCCCGCCCCCACCAGCAGCACCAGCGCCTGCACCAATCAAGAAGCCGAGCCCGTGGGCTCCCGGGCGGCGCTGCCGGCCGGCTTCGTCTTGTTGCATCGCCATGAGCTCCTCGGGCGGCAGAGTCGGCGTGGCGTCTGAGAAGTCGGATAGCAACAGGTGGCGGTATCTGAGATTGGCACGATTGATGGAGGGGGAACGGAGGGAGGCGTAAGAACAGAGAGCGGCATAAGGGAAAGGAGACGGGCGCAGGGGGGGGGAGAGCGACGTAGGGGGTAAGGAGCACGACGTAAGACATGAGGCCAACAAGAAGAGTGGCGGTATCTGTGCGGCAGAGCACATGCAGCCAACAAACAAGAAGTGACGCTTGAGATGAAAACAATGGGTACCAAGCCATCAATGCCCAGCCCTTAATCCCTGAGATTCAAACCCGGAATTAGGACTCACGCGTTCGCTCCTGACGGAAACGACACCTCCCGGACGCACTTCCAGCTCTCCATCTCCCCATCCCCTCTGCCCTCCCTCCTCTCCCTCTCCACCGTTGCCACCACCTCCCCTGCCACGCGCTTCAGCAGCGTTTGAATGCCCTCCCCCCGCCACAGCACGGCACTGCGCTCCACGTACAGCCGCACCAGATGCTCCAATGACGCGCTGCCAGGTGTCGTCCTCGCGAACAGCGGGTGCTTCAGGATGGACGTCCAGGATGCGTCGGTCTTGATCGGAGCCTTCTCTACCAGCCCCTTCAGCAGGTAGCTGGTGGGGAGGGGGGGAGGGAGGAGGGGAGGGCAGAGGTGTGGAATTCAGAGGAAGATGAGAATGGACGTCCAGGATGCGTCGGTCTTGATCGGAGCCTTCTCTACCAGCCCCTTCAGCACGTAGCTGTGGGGAGGGGGGGAGGGGAGGAAGGGAGGAGGGGAGGGCAGAGGTGTGGAATTCAGAGGAAGATGAGAATGGACGTCCAGGATGCGTCGGTCTTGATCGGAGCCTTCTGTACCAGCCCCTTGAGGACGTATCTGGTGGGAGGAGGGAGGAAGGGAGGAGGGGGGGATGGGAGGATGAGAAGAAGGGCGGAGGGGAGGAGGGGAGGGGGGAAAGAAGGGAAGGGGGAAAGAAGGGAAGGGGGAAGGAGGGGATGAGGGAAAGAGGGGAGGAGGGAAAGAGGGGAGGAGGGAAGAAGGGGAGGAGGGGAGGAGGGGAGGAAAGGGGAGCGGTCGTGGAGGTGAGCACGAAGCTGAAAAGCTGTCCCACACCACCACGAGAGCGGTGGGTCGTGTTTTTAGTCGACTCAAAACACGACTCTTTTGAGTCAGCTCAAAACACGACTCATTACAGGAGGGGAGGAAAGGGGAGAAGTCGTGGAGGTGAACGTGAAGCTGGAAAGCTGTCCCACACCACCACGAGAGCGGTGAGCAATAAACAGGGGGTGAAAGCGGGCTCTCTCAGACACCATGCAGACTACCTGTCAATCAGCAAATCGGGCTGCCCTGCACTGCACTGCACTGCAACCCCTAAGGATTCAGAGAATGGCGGGAGACTGAGGCACGAAACGTACGGGTGCAGGAAGAGAGCATCGCGCAGGACAGAGAATAAAAAAGCTCCGATGCGAGGTTTTAACCTCTTCACTTGATTATAAAGGTGATGAAAGGAGACGTACGGGTGCAGGAAGAGAGCATCTCGCAGGAGAGACGCGGCGTCAGGAGCAGCAGCAGCAGCAGCGGCGGCGGCAGCACGATTCCTTCCAACTGGCGCCACGCGATTGGTTGCCTCCCCACTCCCCTCCCCCCCTTCTCCATCCCCCTCGGCCTCCCCCAGCCTCGCCTGGGCCAGTGCGAAGCAGAAGTTTGGCAGCACAGCCAGTGACGTGTCGCCGCCCCATTGGTCCACAAAATCGTGCAGCCAGGTGAACTGGCGCGCTCTGAGGGCGTAGAAGTCAATGCACTGAAGGGTAAAAAGACGGAGGCAAGGGAAGGGTAAGAGGGGGTAGGGGTGGGGTTGGGCAGTGGGGCGGACGACGGAACGGAATGAAGGAACATAGGGAAGAAAGCAAACTGAAAACGTGCAGCCAGAGGAACAGACGCGTCCTAAGGGCATAGAAGTCAATGCACTGAAGGGTGGGCGAGGGTGGGGTTGGGGGTGGGGGTGAGGGTGAGGGTGGGAATAGAGAGTGGGTTGAGGAGGAACCAAGGAGTATGGAAAAGGAAGAGTAGGAACATCGTGCAGCCAGGTGAATTAGCACGCATTGACTGCATAGAAGTCGATGCACTGATGGTATGGGTGAGTTGAAGGGGTGGGGGGGAACGGGAAAGGGGGATGCGGGGATGAGGGATACGGGAGGCAGGTAGAGGAGGTGAACTGGCGCGCTCTGAGGGCGTAGAAGTCTATGCACTGATGGGTGGGGGTGGGGGGAGGGTGTGGTGGGGAAGGAGGAAACAAGGTCCATTTGCTGCAGACACTTGGCTTCGCCCCGCCCTGCCTGCCAGGCGACGCAGGGTGACGGGAGAGCAGCAGGCGGGCAGAAACCTCAAAGGCAATATGTGCGGTGGCAGCCCCTGCCCCTGCATCGCTCAGAACTATGGGCGCTCATCTAAAGTGCGCCTAGAGGGTCGGTGTCCGGGTCGAGGGAGAGCAGCAGGCGACAGAGCTCAAAGGCAGCGCGATGGCAGCCCCCCCCTGCGACCCCTCTAGGGCAGGCAGACAGGCAGCACCGAGCAGAGACGAAGGCCAGCAACACCCAGTCAGCCACACCCACCTGGAGAGCACCGAGGGGGTCGGTGTCAGGGTCGAGAGAGAGCAGCAGACGGCAGAGCTCAAAGGCAGCGCGGTGGCTGTGCGTGCAACCCACCCACGTGGTGCAGACCGTAGGGCGGAAGGCAGGGGCCACCCTGTAGGCAACGCACTACCCTCCAGGTGGGCAGCACCCACCTGTAGGGCGCCAAGAGGGTCGGAGTCCGGGTCGAGGGAGAGCAGCAGACGGCAGAGCTCAAAGGCAGCGCGGTGGCATCCCCTGCGACCCACGTGGTGCATGTGACGAAAGAGAGCATCGAAGAGAGCTCGGTTGGGCTCGTGGGAGAACTCCAGGCTGGCTAGGGGAGAGAAGGAGGGAGGGGAGAGAAGGAGCAAAGGGAACGGAAGGGAAGGGAAGGAGAGGAAAGAAAGGGCAAACAAATGAAATGAGAATGGCAGCCTCTGCAGCCCCTCTAGCCCCTGCGACCCACATGGTGCATGTGACGAAAGAGAGCATCGAATAGAGCTCGATTGGGCTCGTGTGAAAACTCCAGGCTGGTAGGAAAGGGGGGGAAGAGACAGGCAAACAGTGCTTTAGGACATGATTGTGGGAGAGGGTGAAAGGCGTAGAAACGAGACGAGAGCATGACGGAAGAGAGCATCGAAGAGCGCTCTGTTGGGCCCGTGAGCGAATTCCAAACTGGTAGGGGGAGGGGAAGGGAAGAAGGGGAAGGATACAGGCAAATGATGCTTTAGATTTAGGAAGGGTTTAAGACATGAGGATGCCTGCCTGCCCCTGTAGCCCCTGCGACCCACGTGGTGCATGTGGCAGAAGAGAGCGTCTAGGAACGCCCTGTTGGAGTCGTGTGAGAACTCCAAACTGATGGTAGAGGGAGGGGAGTGGGGGGAGTGGAGTGGAGGGGGAGGCACAGGGATGGGACAAGAACATGCAGCCCCTGCGACCCACATGGTGCATGTGGCAGAAGAGAGCGTCTAAGAACGCCCTGCTGGGCTCATATGATCTTCCTTTGGCATTCATCGCTCAAGCATGAATGTATATGCATGCACACACTGACGCACCAGCAAGTCCCCAGCGAGGGGTTGAGGCAGGGATGCCACGCTGCCTCCAGTAGGAAGAGCGGCAACGAGCACTCAAGCATGCACATACACCATTGAAGATCAGAGCAGCCATGCACACACACAGTCATGCACACTCACCGACAAGTCCCCAGCAAGGGGTTGAAGCAGGGATGCCACGCCGCCTCCAGCAGGAAGAGCGGCAATGAGAGCACAAGCAGGCACAGTCACACACATTCACCCTCAAAGAGCCTGCACAGGACACTCACCGGCATGTGCCCAGCGAGGGGTTGAAGCAGGGATGCCACGCTGCCTCCAGCAGGAAGAGCGGCAATGAGAGCACAAGCAGGCACAGTCACACACATTCACCCTCAAAGAGCCTGCACAGGACACTCACCGGCATGTGCCCAGCGAGGGGTTGAAGCAGGGATGCCACGCCGCCTCCAGCAGGAAGAGCGGCAATCAGCCCTCAACCACGCACACACGCACACACACACACACACATACATACACACACACACGCACACACACACACACACACAGACATACACACACACACACACACATACGCATGCGCGCGCGCGCACACACACACGCACATACACACACACACACATGCATGCACCCTTATCGATGCTCACCGGCATGTGCCCAGTGAGGGGTTGAACCAGGGATGCCACGCTGCCTCCAGCAGAAAAAGCGCTCTCTCCAAGAGGTCTGCTGATGTCTGCACCTCGCCCACCTGCCACGAGGAAGAGCAAGGGGCGTTGGGAAAGAGAGGCGTGTGAGAAAGGCACATGACAAGGGATATGTTTTTGAGAATGGGCACAGGAGGAGGAGGCAGATGGGCAAGCACTAGGCTCGAGGCATGTGGCACAAGCTGGTTTCTGCATGAAGAGATCTCGCTCCAAGAGGTCTGCTGACGTCTGCACCTCGCCCACCTGACACGAGGACGAGCAAGGGGCGTTGGGAAAGAGAGGCGTGTGAGAGAGAATGGTTACGGGTATACGAGAACGGGTTGGGTTGGCATGGCATACAGGCATGGGGTACAGGTATAGGTACAGGTCAAGATCCAACCAATCACCTGCGACCCACGTGGAGCTGAATTTTGAGGCGCCTCAAAAGTGGCTACAGAGAGCCATCTAGTTAACATCCCACAGAGGTAGAAACACTTTGCTCCTTTCCTTGCTGCACTGCATGCACAATTCTCCTGCCCACCTGCTTGTAGACCTCAGAGAGCGCCAGCCGGCACCGCCTCCACGTGGTAGGGGTGGTGCGGCACACAACAAACAGAGAGCCATCCAGAAAATGATAGCATATCATATCACGGGTATGCTGCTCCTACGCCAACCTCCCACCTACTCGTACACTTCAGAGAGTGCCACGCCAGCAGCCCTTGTACGTGGTAGGGGTGGTGCGCCACAAACAGCGCCAATTTTTTAGGCGCCTCAAAAAAAGTGGTGCGCCACAAACAGCGCCAGCTGGTAGGGGTCGTGGGACACCACCGTCTGCTCAAACAGGTGCTGCTTGCCGCTTGCTACCTCCAGGCTCCAGTCCCACACAGCCTCTTGAAGAGAGTCCGTTCCTCGATCCTACGAACAACCAACCCCACACATGAGTCATGCCTGCCATACAAGTATCACCCCACCTGTTTGTACACTTCAGAGAGTGCCAATAACCCCTCCACGTGGTAGGGGTGGTGAGCAACAAACAGCCCCAGCTGGTTGGGGTCGTGAGAGGCCACGGTCTGCTCAAACAGGTGCTGCGCCGCCCGGTAGGTGGCCGACCGCACGTAGCGAAACACACGCACGGGGAGCGCCGGGAACGCCGCAATTGCCCCACCCACTCCCCCGGCAGCACCCCCAGCACCACCACTAGTAGCACTGGCAGAAGAGGTACCACGGTCACCTCACCTGCTTGTAAACCTCTGAAAGAGACAGCAGGGCCTCCACGTGGTAAGGATGGTGCGCCACAAAGAGCCCCAGCTGGTTGGGGTCGTGTGACGCCACGGTCTGCTCAAACAGGTGCTGCGCCGCCCGGTAGGTGGCCGACCGCACGTAGCGAAACACACGCACGGGGAGCGCCGGGAACGCACACGCTCCATCCACACCCCCAGCACCATCACCAGCAGCAGCACCAGCGGCAGCGGCAGCAGCGCCAGTGCCCTTGCTCTCGCGCACAAACTCCATAGTGAGCCCTTTCTCCGCCACTGCTCCCGGCGGCCAGTGCTCCCTCTCCTGCACCAGCAACGCCCGCCTCCCCACACTCCCTCCCCCTCCCCCTCCCCCTCCCCCTCCACGCCTCCCCCGCACACCTCCCCTCATCCCTCCACCCCCACCTCCTCCCATTCCTCCTCCTGCTCCTCCTTCTCCGCCCCCTGCTTGCCTCTCCACCTGGCGGATGACCTTGGAGCCGAAAATGCGCTTCAGCTCGTCGTCTGCTCGCAGGAACCGGGTCTCCACGGCTAGAAGCGGCCGCGCTGACGTTACGGGACCCCCGGCTGCTGTTCCTGCTGCTGCTGCTGACGTCACAGGACCCGCTTCTGCTGATGACGTCACAGCACTCCCTGCTGCTGTTGCTGCCGCTTGCCCTCCTCCTCCTCGCCCCTCGATTGAAGCTAAAGCGCGCTCTAATTCAGTGTCGTCCCCTCCCCCTCCACCCCCTCGATCCAAGATCTTTTCCTTCTTCCCTCCCACTCCAGCATCCTCTCCTCCCCCTCCCGTTCCCGCCTTCTTCTTCCCCTTCCCTTTCTTTTTCTTCTTTCCACTCTTCCGTTGCCTCTCCATCCGTCTACGCTCCTCCTCCTCCTCCGCCTCCTCCTCCCCTTCCCCCTCCTCTTCCTCCGCATCCTCCCTTTTTCCTTCACCCTCCTCCTTCTGCCCCTTCGCATCCCTGCTCTCACCGCCACCTGCACTGTTCCCTTTTTCCTCCTCTTCCTCCTCCTCCTCCTCGCCTACCTCCGTCTCTCCCTCGCCCTGCCAGCAAGGAAAACGAAGGAAGTGAACCAAACACGGGACCCTGGAGCAAATGAACAAGGGAAGCAGCTTGGGGGTGGCCTATCTCGTGCTTTACTCTAATGACACACGAGACGACTTTGGAGTATCGCTTGAGAGAATCACAAGAGGTGTCAAAACTTAGAGTGATAAGCAGAGGAAGCAGGTTAAGCGTTGCTTATCTCGTGTTGTGCTCCTGCGTTGCTACAATGATGAACGAGATTGGAGAGGCAGAGGACAAGGGAGGTTTCTACACACAACGTGCACCACACGCAAGCTGTCGCACAAGCTGTCGCACGAGCTGTCGCACAAGCTGTCGCACGAGCTGTCGCACGAGCTGTCGCACAAGCTGTCGCACGAGCTGTCGCACGAGCTGTCGCACAAGCTGTCGCACAAGCCGTCGCACGAGCTGTCGCACAAGCCGTCGCACAAGCCGCAGTTGCGACCCAGCACGAAGCACGTACATCCATGTCAAGAAGGTCGAACGCATTCCGCGCAGCCTCTATCAGCTTCGAATCACTCTCCTCCTCATCCTCTTCATCCTCCACCTCCTCATCCTCCTCCTCGCCTCCCTCTCTCCTCCCTTTCTCCGCTCTCTGACCTCCCCCTTCCGCGGCCTCCCCTCTCTGCCCTCCTCCCTCCGCGGCCTCCGCGCGCTCCCCCTCACCAGCGGGGGAAGCCGCCTTCAGCTTCAAGCTTTCCGCCTCGCGCTGCTGCTGCTCCAGTAAACGACGAACCATGCGAGTCGACATGGCTACAGTAAGCCCACGAAAGGACGTGTTTGGAAAAATTGGAATGCGGCTTCCACGAAACGACGAGCAGATCGAGTGTGTTTGACTACTAGCCGCTGCAGGGTCTCTGGTTATAGCGTGGATTGCGGCCGACCGTTCGATTGCCTGTTAGATCGGGGAGGCGGCAAGCTGCTGTGCCTACGGCGCAAAGCGTGAACGCACCTGTCAGGCACGCGGAACCACAGGGCTCACGTTGCAGCAAGGAACACAAGCAGCAATCTCTGACAGGACTTGATTCGATAAGAGAACGTTCGGCACTAAAACTCTCCTCAAATCAATGAAAAGGCTACTAAATACAACGACTCTTCAGTTACATGCAAAACTCATTTAAGGTACCTTTGTTTTTTTTTTCAGCAACTTTGCAGTAAGTGTAATTGATGAAAGGGCCTATATTAACTTTATGACGCGTTCTCCCGGCTCCGTAACAGGGACCCTTCGCGACGTGACAGCGCAACGAAGCTTGCGAATGTAACGGGCGCATCTCACAAGTTCAGTGTTGGTCCCCAGCTCGGGGGTTTGGCCGAGCTGGCAGTCCCAGGCTCACCCGTCCCGAACCAGGCAGGCGCCCAGGGAGGGCGGGTGAGTGCCAGCCAGCCTCGGCTCGGCCTCACGTGTCCTGAACAATATATACAGGGCGGGGGGGTAGTTCAGCGCACGCGAGCGGAGCATTTTTGGACGGGGAACTGCGCGGGTGGACGGTACCAGCACCAGGGCTGACGTTTCAAATCTTAGGCTACCCAAATTATTTTTTTCCCTTTTTACTATGAAGGCAGTTCGGCCAGAAAATGGGCAGTCTGATTGCTCAGTCACCAGATGTTGCATTATCTGATCGTTCAGGGTCGGCAGATCGGCATCAGACAACGGCCCCATCCAACACCGCTGCCCATCTCGGAGACATTCTGGTGAGGGTTGTCGCATTCCACCCAAGTGTCGATGTGACTCAGCCATTTGAGTGTACGTGCCAGGAGATTATGTTTCTTGTACAGTACGCTGAGAGTATTGAGTCAGTGGCTTGCGCTAGCGAGTGTTGCAACTGAGGTGTATGTCAGAATATTATGCTCTAGCCTGTAGTGGGGTGCTCTATAGCGAGTACAACTCTTCTAGGGTTTTGCTATTTGTATCCCCATTCTTGCTAGTGCAATCCTCTTCTTTCTTCTAAACTTTAACATGCTATCAGAGCAGGTCGATCCCCTTGGATCGATCCTGTGGGTGGGCTCACCACCTTGTTGCTTCCGCTGCAACTGCTACTGCTACTCTCTGTGCCGCACGCCCCGTGGCGTGCGGCAGTTTTTCTTCCCGCCGTGCGCCCCGAGGCGCGCGGCGGTTTTCTGCCCGCCGTGCGCCCCGAGGCGCGCGACGGGTTTCTGCCCCGTCACTCGCCGCGTCGCCCCCGGGAGGCGCTGCGACGGGCGACGGGGACCCGTCGCGCCGCCCAGGGGAGCCGCGCGCGGCCCCTGCTGCCCCGTCGCGCGGCCCTGCTGCCCCGTCGCGCTGCCCAGGGGAGCCGCGCGCGGCCCCTGCTGCCCCGTCGCGCGGCCCTGCTGCCCCGTCGCGCTGCCCAGGGGAGCCGTGCGCGGCCCCTGCTGCCCCGTCCCGGACCTGCCCCGGCCCCGACCTGCCCCGGCCCAACTCCCGTCGCCCGTCGCGGCGCCCTGGGGGGGGCCGCAAGCGGCCCCCCCCAGGGTCGCCTCGACAGGCGACGGGAGGGGAGTCTACAGGGGGCCGCGCGTTGCCCCCCCCCCCCTACCTCCCTACCCTGTTTTTAGGGTTTGGGGGGTGGCGGTTGGGGGGTGGCGGTTGGGGGGTGGCGGGTGTGTGGCGTCGCCTGCTCCTCCTCCTCCTTCGTCTCCCACTGCTGCAGCTATCGCTGAGGGGGGTGGATGTGTGGGAGTGTACGGAGTGGTGCTAGGGGGGTGGAGTGTGAGTAGAGCTAGGGTTTGAACAGGGGGTGTGTGAAATGGGGGTGGGACAGTTGGGGGAGGTTGAATGGAGGCGGTCGTCGTGTCGTCAGCAGCAGCAGCAGTCCGGAGGCTACAATCTCCGGTAGTCGCCAGTCGCCCGTGGGTCCGTTGCTCGTCTGCCGCTACTTTTAGCCGCGGGGCCAGTTACCCCAGTAGTCCGGAGCGCTGTTCCGGTAGCCACTGAGCCAGCAGCTCGTCTGTGTGTCTGCAGCGTCAGCAGTCGCCTCCCATCTTCTCTCCCCCACAGTCTCTCCTCCTCCTCACTTGCCCTCTGTGATAGCCTCTAGCTTTGCTTATATTTGTTAACTATAAAACTGCTACCTCTTGTACTTGTGCTCAGAATGTGTGGTGACATTGTGATCCACCCTGAGCTTGTTTTCTTTTGCTTGCTCTGCTGATTACACCCCACTTTGGCTATGGGGGTGTGTCAGAATATTATGCTCTAGCCTGTAGTGGGGTGCTCTATAGCGAGTACAACTCTTCTAGGGTTTTGCTATTTGTATCCCCATTCTTGCTAGTGCAATCCTCTTCTTTCTTCTAAACTTTAACAGTGTAATGCTGGCAAAATGCAAGGTGGCATGACCTGTCGTGGTTTTGCAAGTAGGGCGGGCTGACAGGGAGCTGAGCTGGCAGCAGGCAGGAAATGTTACTCGGTCGGTGCGCGAGATTCGGGTAGCAGAAGTTTGCATACCTTGGGTGCACCAATCTCAGCCCACTGCATTGATTCATTTTATATATTTCACACGTTTTGGCGCGGTGAAGAGACGCACGATCTCGATCAACCCAAAGTGCGATACTTCACATGTGGCGAGATTGTTTTTTTGCACCGATTCGCTGTGCGATTCGTCGACTTGTTGTTGTTAGAATGTGAAACAGTTGAATGAGTGCACTAGCAGAGAGTTGGGTACCACTACAGCCTATCAACCAAATATGAGGGATAGCAAGAGTGAGCAAGAACCACAAATGGTCACAAGACCACTCAAGAGAAGGAACAAAGCAAAGCTCAGGGTGGATATCAAGATCACCACACAGTCCGAGCACAAGCAAGCGGCCACAAGGCCAGTTCACATGCAGTGTTATAACAACAAAAGCAGTACAATGATCACAACCTAGCAAGTGTACACATGCAGGTATAGATATATATCAGAGTACAACAAGTGCAAGACGAGATCAAGAGGCAAGCAAGTGAGGCAGAGTAGGCACAAGGCCAAGAGCAATGCAGAAACGCTGATGATCACTAGCTTGGTGAAAATATCAGCAGTGTTGGCCTCGGAGGCCACGTAAGAAACGCGAAGCTGACCACGCTCCTGCAACTCTCGCACGAGAAAGTAACGAAGAGCAATGTGCTTGCTCCTGCAACTCTCGAGTCTCTGCTCCTGACACAAGGCGATCATGGCCTTAATGTCAGCGAACAGAACCGGTGCAGAACGAGGCTACTCACCCAAGTCGGTGAGCAAGTAGGTCAGCCAGCGTAACTCCTGCGCAGCCATAGCCCCAGCGTAGATCTCGGCCTCACTGCTAGAGCTGAGTACAGAAGACGAGCGAGTGGACCTCCAAGAGACAGAACCAGTGCCGAGGTTGAAAGTGTAGCCCTGTGAAGACCGGGAAGTCGCCTGGTCGTCGGCCCACGAAGCGTCTGAGTACCCTATGAGCACAACTCGACCCCGTCCCCCAAGCACAAGCCCCAAGCCTGATGTACTGGCCAAGTAGCGCAACACCCTCTTAGCAGCCGTCCAGTGCTCAGGACGGTGTCTCCCGGGCGCAACGCAGCGAGCCAGGATACGAGTGCACGTCATCAGGTACATGAGGCAACCTACAAGCTCTGGATACGGACCACTAGGCTCTACGGACTCGTCCGAAGGTGGAGGTGAGAGCGTGTGGCCTGTAAGCAGAGGAGTGGGCTATGCCGAGGAGAACTGAAATCCGAAGCGCCGAAGGACCTGCTGCACCATGTGTGACTGTGTCAGAGTGATGGTGCGCGATGCTTTGTCCCGAGTGATCTGCAAGCCAAGATAGGCTTGCAGTTCACCCAGATTCGTGCAGGTGTGTCTCTTCTGCAGCTCAGCCTTCACGAAGGCCAGGGCCTCACTGTCAGCAGTCGCAAAGACCAGGTCGTCTACGTACACGAGGATGTAGAACGGCGGTAAAGCAGGGTCAGTGCGCAGAAACAGGGACGGGTCAGCAGTCGAAGGAGCGAAGCCAAGAGCTGCAAGTGTCGTCCTAAGTGTGTCGTGCCACTCGCGGGGCGCCTGACGCATACCGTAGACTGGCCGCCGGAGACTCCACTGGGTACCCTCAGGGAACGACCCAGTGAAGCCAGGTGGGCGGCGCAGCCAGATCTCCTCGTGGAGGCTGCCCTGCAAAAAAGCCGTCGAGAAAACGAGCGAGTGCAACTCGTAGTCACGCTGTGCTGCAACGTGTAGAAACACCCGAAGAGTCGTCATCTTCGGGGTGGGGGAGAAGGTATGGAAGTGTCGCAGCAGCAGTCGAAAAAGCAGGGTCCGTCACAAGTGTGGCAAGACAACGAGTGACAGTCGGACTTGCAGCACGAGCAAGGTCAGACGGAGGGTCAGGAACGTTAGGAAGAGAAGACGGGGGAGGCAACGGCAGGACAACAGGCTGCGAAACAGAGGAAGGACGAAGTGCCATGGTGTGAGTACTGGGAACAGGTGGAGGGCAAACACGGTGAACACGACAAACACGAGCAACAGGTGAGGTGGGACGAGACGCAGGCTCCCGACACTCGGTCGGGGAGTCGGTCAACGGAGAGTAACGAGGAGGAACAGGTAGAGGGGAGCCAGAAGGCAACGGTGCGTGAGACAGGTCAGGCGGCGGAAACAGCAGAGGAGGGGTAGTACCAGTGGCTGTCAGCTCAGCAGAGGCAGGTGGGAGACTGAGAAGGTCGTGAAACGTCGACCCAGGTAGCGGTAGCGACGACGGCTGCTGCTCCAAGAACAACGGCCGATGTGGCAGCGGCTGCGACGCACCCCCAGACCCAGC